GCAAATTCCTCGAATCCTGGGGCCGGGACTGAACAAGGCTGGCAAGTTCCCTTCTCTTCTCACTCACAATGAGAACATGGTGGGCAAAGTAGATGAAGTGAAATCCACAATCAAGTTTCAAATGAAAAAGGTATTTTTTTTAACTCCTTACATTTGGCACTATGTATTTTTATGGGGGGGGGGGGAGTAATTCCTAGTATTCTCTAAAGTAAAGCAGGCCCACAGAAAATGATCTAGCTGAAGAGGGAAAGAATATTTCAACAAATATCTAGAGAAAGAGTCACTTTGCAGAGTGAGATGGCACCATATAAATTTAATGAATAAAAAAAAATGCATCTACTGAATTAGGTTTTCTCTTCAATATCAGTGAAGTGAAGGAAGAATGTAAAAGCACCTAAAATTGATTTATCCTTCTAATTTGCACAATGGTACCATATTTTGTATTAGAAGAACAATACTGTATTTTTCATTACAAATAGTTACAAGATTCCCAGAAACACTGCAGTTGTTTTCCTGAAGGCTTCAGCTATTTGCTTCTATCCAGTTTTGTGGAAAATTGAACATCCTAGCCATACCAACTTGAGACTGATTTGTTTTTAGAACAAATCATTTCTATTCCTATTCAATTGTAACACATTTGAGTGTTTTCTTGTGTTCTTCTAGGTACTGTGTCTTGCTGTGGCAGTTGGTCATGTGAAGATGACTGAGGATGAGTTGGTCTACAACATTCATTTGGCAGTCAATTTCCTTGTATCCCTGCTGAAGAAAAATTGGCAAAATGTGCGTGCCTTGTATATCAAGAGCACCATGGGGAAACCTCAGCGTCTGTACTGATGGCAATATAGATACATATATTTCATATAACAATACAGTTCTTTTAAGCTAACTTACTAGTGTGTGAGTTTTGATTTTTTATAAAATTACATGGAATCACTGAATATTTAACTCCTCTTAATCTGAGAAATGTTCATGTTCAGAATGATAAATTAGACTTCAGAAAATCCTGGCATATCATGAACTGGTATTCAGTATTTATGAAAGCATGCAGGCCCTTGACTTAAAACCATTTGTCTAGTGACCATTTGAAGTTAAAATGGCACCCTTTTTAACTTTGAATGGTTACTAGACAAATGGTTTTAAGTGCTGTTTTTCACAAATAAGGCAATTGTAGATCCCTGTGCTCACATGATCAAAATTAAGATGCCTGGCAACTGGCAGGTATGACAGTTGCAATGTTCCAGGTCATGTGATTATGACTTGGCAAGCAAAGTCAATGGGGAAGCCTAATTCACTTAACCTGTTGCTCACTTAACTGCAGAGATTCACTTAACAACTGGCAAAAAAAGGTAAAATGGGGTAAAACTCATTTAACTGTCTTGCTTAGTAATGGGATTTTTTTTTAAAAAAAAAATTGATTTATATGCCGCCCTTCTCCGGAGACTCAGGATGGCTTACAATGTGTTAAGCAATAGCCTTCATACTTTTGTATATTTATACAAAGTCAGCTTATTGCCCCCACAGACTGGCTCCTCATTTTACCTAACTTAGAAAGGATGGAAGGCTGAGTCAACCTTGAGCCTGGTGAGATTCGAACTTATAGTAATTGCAGACAGCTGGTGTTAATCACAATGCTTTTAGTCTGCTGAGCCACCAGGCCCTAATTTTGGACTCGATTGTGGTCATAAGTAAAAAACTACTGGTATTTTACTTTCCCCTAGTGAAAATGTGTGCATTCACATGTCCAAACTAGAAATCGTGAAAATATTGGCTGTGAGCAGAAAAACATACTGGATTAGAACAAGTATAGCTTCTTTATTGGAACAATATGGTAAAAAATATTGTGACTTATTTAATATTTTGTTATCAGACATTCACTCTTGGTCCAACACACCTCACAGGGTTGTGGTGGGGAAAATGGGAGGAAAAGAGTGTTGGATATATTCACTGCCTTGGATTATTTGTAAAAACAAATGCAGAGTACAAATAAGTGACAACATGAATTGCGTAAACCCAAAGCCTGCACAATGTGATAGTGAGCAATTTCCCCAAACTTGAAGTGCCAGAATAGGGTGTTGTTTTATTGTAAGCAGTCTTGTTTTTAGGGAATAGATAGGCAATCTTTTGATGGCCATACTAAACAATGTTGGAAGGGACAAAATGAACAGGTTGGAAAGTAGGTAGAAGTATACATTGGATGGAGGAAGAGTTAATCCTTGTTCATATTTCACCACTTCTCATTCCAAAGGAATAGAAAACTGATCTCGACAGTAAGAACCACAGAAAGGGATTTGGGAGGCTCCTACAGTCCTGGTCTTCAAGGTGCCTACCTTTTGTTTAGCATGATACACAAAGCAATTCACAGCTGATGGAAAGCTTTTATGAGGTGTGAGCACAAATTGAATCAGGCCTGAAATACCGTTTTTGATCTCCAAAGGTAGTTTTACATACCAACCATATGCTGATTTACTAAATTACTACCATTACTATTTTTTCTATTATAGCTTGAGATGATGCTTCAGGACCAGTTTGCTTTTACTGTCTCAGTAAAGAGTAATATAGTTTTTTGGCTCTGCCTACTCCAGGAGGCAGTTTGCTGGAAAAGGAGATAAACTTGATATTTACATTAGCAGGAATAAAATTTCAAGACATCGGCATCAGTTTGCTGTATTAGACAATTTTTTAATTTGGAAGCTTTGCACGTAAAGAGTATGCAATGGGCAAATATGTGAAAAAACGAGTATTGTTTACTACATTATACAGTTTCCTATATACAGAGATGGTGTTGCAGGGCTGCTGAAATGCACCAGGCTACAATTTATCATATTTTATTGAATGAAGTTGACTGTCTCCTTGCTAAGAGGTAAAGAATCCTGCCCTTTATGTAGGTGAAGTTGGGGAGTACAAGGGATTATGATTATGAAACAGCTCTGTTGCGTTCAAATCAGAACATCACTGGGTCTTCTGAGCTAATTGTACATCAGCCATTTCAAATTTGTTTGGAATATTGTGGCTTTTGCAAGGACTTGAATGTCCTAAAAAGGAAATGGTATGTTTTCAGTGAAACCCTTAGATATTGTAAGTAATTTGGGAGAGCAACTTTAGTAAAACTGATTGCAAATTTCCTAAACACCTCATAAGTCTATCCATATTATGATTATGGATGTATTGGTACTAGAGAGCCCAACCCAGATTGTCTGGATTGCTTGTTTTTACAATGCAGGGCCTAATTCTAACAATCACTCAGTCAAAACTTTACTTTCTGCATATATCTTGATATTTGAATTGGTACAACAAAATGGGTCTCTACGGTGTTCATAGTTGTTATATTGAAAACATCCCTTGAAATCTTTTTTATAAATGGAACTGGCATTTCCAGATAGAATCATTAGAAAAGAAACATTCCAAAAAGCACTGAATAATAAATACGAAGAAAACTTTATGAGGGAAACATCGTTTTCAGAATTCAGGTGTGTCATTTTAACTTGAAGACTTTGTAAAATTGCAAATCATACTGCCAGGGCACACAATGTACTGAGAAATTAACAAGTTATAAGTCCTACTTTTGCTTATTTTGGGCCTGCTATATTCTGCTAATTATAAAAAGCTGCACTTTAATTTGCAGGATCTACCATAATTTAGTGACAGCAGATGGCAACATCTAGCTGATCTCAGCTGATAGTGAAGAAACAAGTTCAAATCAGGTTAGAAGTTGGATGAAAAGCTCACCAATGTAGGTTAGATTGGGGAGCTGAAGAAATAACTTGGATGAGGGGGAAGGATACTGGCAAAAGATAGTAAGAAAATTACATGCACAGGTTGACAAAGTCATCGAGTAAAGCTTGATCCTGGTTTTTCATAGTTTAGCAAAAATCAAGTTAGTTAATTTGAAAGTTCCCTTATTTTGTGATGATAGAACAAAATGTCTTATAGCTCTTGAAAATGAATTGGCACAGCAGCTCCTGAGTATTTGTGTCACTAATTCTTATTCCCAAAGACATTGTGAGAGTTCATTTGAAAATCATAAGAGATACAATTTTCCTGCAGTCACCTGTATCTCAGAAAAAAGAGAAAGGAAAATAAGTTGTGAAAGGGAAAAGAGGGAGAGCAAACACTAGAAAGATACATTGATGTTTAAATCTTTGTGAACCCTTTTGGATTTTCAACATTTTTGCTTAGATGTGACTTAAAATGTGATTTATTCGCCATACAAGTCCTAAAACTAGAAAAAGAGAGCCAGCTTTGAATCATTTTCCTCAGTAACAGTTTAACTGAACAAATATATAATGTTTTTAACTCATTGGTTTAAATTTGTTTATTGCCTACCCAGCTTCCCCAGAGATAATTCCTGAGGAAATGCTTAAATATTTATTCATCACATTTACATGACTGCTCATCTCACAAAAAAGTGATTATGGATGGAATTCATCGATCAATAATACAGCAAATATATTTAAAAATTCATTAAAAAATATAGGGTCATTAACGGTTTTAAAAAACATCAATAAAACCAATATTTAACCACACAGAGTAAAAAAGATTAACCACAGTGGAACCTTCTAAGACTCCCTGAGACCCCAGGCCTCGAGGGACTTCCAGAATGATAACAGGGATAGAGCTAATCTAACTAGGGGACAGAATGCTTGTAGGAATGTGTGCTTGGCCCTGGTTAAAAAGCATGAGATAAATTTTTGCACTGTGCAAAAATTGCACTGTCTACACAGTTCCTAAAGTCCCAATAGATTTTATGAGCATTTCAAGTGTGATAAATTTAAATCAAACTACTGTGCATGATTACAAAGAACTACAGAAAGCTTCCAATTGTTATCCTCATGGTGCACCAGAGGTCATTGTATAATGGGGTTCGTGTCACATTGTGATGATCAATGCATACAGTTCAAGGTTCATGCTGTGCTTCCAACCTAAGCACAAAGTGGTAAGCTTCATTCCTGTGACAGAAATGGCAGCAGCGTGAGTAAATTTCAGGATTCTGTAAGAAAGCTAGATTAGTCATCCCAAACTGCTGAGGTGATTCTGCAAGGCTTCAACTCTTCACCTGAAGAGCCTAAAATGTTAAGGGTGTGACATCTGGGAACCAGTGAAGGTCTTTGTGCCCAGAAATCACTGCAGCTTAAGTCTGATTAAAAGTAGCAAAGCTGCTCTAGGGGAAGATTGAAATAGTACAGGGAAGTTGGTTGAAAGCAATATAGATGCTTTGTGGCTATAGCTCAGTGCCAATGAAATTAGGTCAGAAAGTGGGCATTCGATATTTGGTTCCTGATGTTAACATATCATAAAGGCTATATCATTTCCTTTCTATTGGAACTGCCTGTGGATTGTCACAAGAAAAGAGGAAAGCTGCCTGTCTATTAATTATATGTTGTACTTTTTTGGAAATATCTCCAATTACTCTTAGCTACTATACCTGGGAGTTATATTCCAATCAATTTTGAGAGGACTGGTCGGGAGAGGCCATCTGCATAAATGTACATACAGTATCATTGGCAGCAATACTACTGATTTTAAATCAGTAATATATTTTTTTGTTTGGATTCTGCACACATACATTACAAAAGCATTAGAAGAAGCATTCTTCTATGCGAATGATAAAAAGAAAAATGCATTTTGCCATCTGAGTCATTGCTAGTTCTTCATTTGATTTTTTTTCAAAATTGATGCCCATTTAATCTAGATCACATTATTATTCATCAACTAAACTTTGCAGTCTCGTTCAATGAGTGCTCGGAGGCATACTTATATATTTTGGGAATAAGCTGTTGCCTTTTAGCAGGTTTGCAATGGGTGTTGAGCATGATTAAATTGGAGCTCAATTAAGCCCTGGTTGGGGGTAAACAGCAGCAGTTGCGATGTCTCAAATATGTTGATGTGATTCCAAAAATGATAAGCTTTGAGGAATAACAGTAATGTTCTTTACAGGTCTCCTTTCATGGTATTCCCAGCCTTGGCAAAATATTCTCTTGTTCCTTGAGCAGTCGAGGGGAATTTCCTTCCTGCAGCACGAGAGAGGGTTAACTCTTCGTTCCAGGTTAACCTCTGTTAGCATACAACCAGAAAGAGCTAAACCATCACAAGCAGGCAGTGTTTACGAGACAGCCGTCATCCCTCCTATAAACAAGGGGCTTCTCCAGCAGCAGAAAAAGTGCATTCCAGAGAAGCAGAGTCTGGTTAGTAGAGCATCTGCCTGAGAGCAGGAGGGGCAGCCCAGGAGCTTGATCTTCAGAAGTCGGCAGCTTTGTTTAGGGGCAGAGCAGGGACCGGTGTTGCTGTGGCTTTTCACCTTGGGTACCTTCAGATTAAGAGGAAGACCCTGTCTGAGAGCATTCATTCCTCTTGGCTCGTCACACTTTAGACTCTCTTTGCTTGATGACACTCAAAATCCTGTTTAGGGTAAGTCGGTTATTTAAATATTTGATATACAAATGGGGAAAGTAATGCACAAAGGAAGATCAACAAACTGCCTCTTTTGCTCTCTCGTCGTTCATTTAAAGGAGTTTTGAAATAAAGAATGTTTTTCTCCAAGCAATGCCATGTTATCCCAAATGAAAGTTGTCCTTAATATCATTAAAGAATACTTTTAAATATGCTAGCTAACTATGTACGTGATGGGGCCTGAGGGGAAAGAGCAACCATAAGTAGATGCCGTATTTAACTGTTCCTGTTCTGCTTTCCTTCCTTTCTTGTGATTTATTTGCTTTTATTGGCGAGTATATTTTACGCACTATGGATTTAAAACGGCACGTTGTATGTCAGAACCGTACGGTAGAATTATTTTCAATAGCAAATGTCTCTTGGAGACTCTGTAGAAATCTCTGTGCATAACTTCGGGAAAAAAAAATAGATCGATGTCATTCAATCACTTTTTGCCACTTTATTGAACTTGTACGATGATATACAAATGCAGATTGTGTTCTGAAGCCAAAAGGGAGTCAGAATTCTTTCAGATTTGGGTTGACGTGGGAGAAACTTGAGTGAGTCTAGACTCTAGAGGAAGAGATCTTCTCTGGGGATTGAAAAGCATAATTTGAGGGTGGTAATAACGATTCCTTGAACTATCCTATTCCTTACTTTAAGGCAGTGTTTCTCAACCTTGGAAGCTTGAAGATGGGAGGACTTCAACTCCCAGAAACCCCCAGCCAGCATTGCTGGCTGGGGGATTCTGAGAGTTGAAGTCCTCCCATCTTCAAGCTACCAAGGTTGAGAAACACTGCTTTAAGGGGTTAGCACTTGGGAGCCTGGCATGACTAACAGATAGCAAGAGTGAGATAAAAGAGAGGTTCTACAGTGTTTAGTGGCCCCTCCTTTCCTGGTGCTTCTGGTTTGCCTCATGCAGACTGAATTATAACTGGTCTGGATTACAACTGCTTTTTATGGGACAGGTTTAAAAGGAACAACGGAGCCAGGAGCTTCTTCATTATGGTGATAATAAACAGGCTGTGAAGAAGCAAACTTTAACAGGTACTTGGTACTCTCAGCAAACAAGAATGCAATGGTGGTGGTCATGCAGCTCAGAAATACCTTTACGCCCTCTCGCCTTTGTTTTTCCCATTCTTTCAAGCCCTCCTAGGACCCTTGGAAAAAAAAGGCTGCCCAAAGGTAAGTCAATGACAGGTCAGCCACTCTTAAAAGAGTAAATGGTACTTTCAGGGATTCTGAAAATTGTTTTGAGAAACAAGTGAAAACGCTGAATGAAACGCAGAGATAGTGCATTGATCCTGTGAGTATGTTGATACTAGCATTACAGTATTCACAGCATACAGTCGCTAATACATGGCTTCTGTTTTTATGAATGCATGGCTGAGATTGGATTTTATTAGCTCAGTTCCACCACTGCAGCACTGGTAAAAGGCTCCTATTGGCTTTCAGGACCATATCAACCAATCCTGGGAAAAAGACATGTCTGAATTTGCATATTATTAAATAGATGCGCTGAATCGGGTGTAAGAGCCGTGTTGGTGCAGTGGTTAGAAATGGAGTATTGCAAGCTAATTCTGCTGACTGCCAGCAGTTCGATTCTGACCGGTTCAGTGTTGACTCAGCCTTCCATCCTTCCGTGGGTCGGTAAAATGAAGACCCAGATTGTTGGGGGCCATCTGCTGACTCTGTAAACCGTTTAGAGAGGGCTGTAAAACACTGTGAAGCAGTCTATAAGTCTAAGTGCTATTGCTTTATCTATTCCAATATCTTTAGTTTTCGGTTATGTGTGACTTTTGGAAGACATTAAAGACCTGGTTTTTCTCCTCCTCATGTCTGAGAATGTACGACCCATTGCATAATTTTTTTTTCCTCCAGCACTCTGGATTTGGCTTTTAATGTTTGAATTATTCTTTATATTTTGTTCCATTATGTGTTTTCTATTTATTTTACTGTCACAGTTAGTCCTCCACCTAAGTTCATTGATTCGGCAACCATTCTAACTCACAACAGTGATAAATGAGGGGCACTTACAATCATTTCTCAGAGTTCCAGCCATTGCAGTACCTCTGCAGTCATGTAATTGTGGTTTCTAATGTTCCCTGCCAGCTTTCCACAAGGAAAATTAATGGGGAAGCCAGCAGCAACTTGGAAGTCACAGTCACATGAGGTTCTCGCTCATCCTTAACAACGGCAACTTGGGATTGCCAAATCTGCCATCTCTAACTGGTGCAGACATGCACTTTATAAAGTCTCTTAGCAATGGCAATTCCCATCCCAATTGCCATTGTAACCAGTGGTGAAATCCAAATTTTTTTTACTACCAGTTCTATGGACGTGGCTTGGTGGGCATGGCTTGGTGGGCATGATAGGGGAAGGATACTGCAAAATCTCCATTCCCACCCAACTCCAGGGGAAGGATATTGCAAAATCCCCATTCCCTCCCCACTCCTGGGGGAAGAATATTGCAAAATCTCCATTCCCACCCCACTCTGGGACCAGCCTGACGTGGTATTTGCCGGTTCTCTGAACTGCTCAAAATTTCTGCTACTGGTTCTCCAGAACCTGTCAGAACCTGCTGGATTTCACCCCTGATTGTAACCCGAGGACTACCTGTACTGATTATGTACAGCTCCCTGAGTTATGTGGTGAGTAGGACAACAATATAAATGGATGAGAGAGAGAGTCTTCTTGCAGTTGAGCTTGACTGTGTGACTCCATGGATGCCTCTGAGTAGCAACAACAATATGGAAATAATTTACCATTTGCCTTTTTCCAGAACATTTTTTTTACTTCTCAATTTAATCTGAAGCCAAAGGAGTTCCTGTTGGTCTCTCCTCCGTGCTGCATTGGATACTAGGGCTATTTGGCCCCAAATAGGGGCACAAATTAAGATGGTGATGGCTGTTTCTGTTGCGTCTCATAGTTTATGAGTTGTTAAACTATGCAGCACATGGGAAGAATGGAATGAAAATATTTTCCTATTATGAAATAAACATGATTTTTCATTGCATACCAACCTTACTGGCTTTTTTTTTTATGTATTTGCTCCTGACTCCTTTTAATGTATTTGCTCCCAGTCCTTTCGTTTTGTCTTAAAGCATTTTTCCCACTTCCATGTAGCCCTTTCTCCCTCTGCATTCTTATATTTCAACTCTTGTTTCATCTGGCTTCTGTGTTTATCTAGTGGTTTAAGCCCTATAGCGTTTCTTCTGCATTTTCAAAGCTCCAAAATTGTCTGCGCATGATGACCTGATTTGCATGTCAAGCTGCTGCCCTGTAATAAATTGCCATGTAGGGAAGCTCTGATGTTGAGGCAGTTTTGGACAGCTTCCAGGTGATGGCAGTTTTCTGTTGGGAGGCCCTGAATACTTCTCTTTTCTCTGTGGATCAGCGCTGAACTGAATGTAGCCTGCAAAGCTGTTTGTCAATGTAGCTCACTGAACTCATCTCACCATCAGTATATGTGAAATGAAATGATGTTAAGCTTGCTGATATTCCTCCACCTGGAAGTATTTAACAAAAAATACTTAAATACATAAAGAAATAATGTCTCCACCTACGTTCCTGTCTCGTGTCTAGTTCTTTTGCCTATTCTTCTCCTAAACAAAACAAGTCTATTATACAATCTTTTTGCACTTGTAATAAGTGCAAAGCTACTGCCTATTAGGAAACTACATTCTGAGTAGACTATTCATTTCATTTCGTCTATAATTTGTCTTATTTACTTACATACATTGTCCTCAACTTCTAACCACAACACAGCCCCAAATTTCTGTTCCTATTGCAATATAATACATATTGCAATATAATAAGCTAGACAGAGAAGTCAGTTTTGCCCCATTTTATGTCCTTTCTTGCCATACCGGTAGTTTTTAAGTGAATCGTTGTTAAGGGAAGGGGAATGCTGCAGTTGTCGTAAGTGTGAAAAATGGTCATAAGTCACTTTTTTCCAATGCTGTTGTAACTTCAAACAGTAACTTCAAACAGTCACTAAATGAACTGTTGTAAGTTGAGGACTACCTGTTCTTATTGGCAATCCTGCCTGGAGATGCCAGCCTGGGAGCTTCCACAGATAAAGTGGAAGGACCTTCCACTACTAAGATAAAGTTGCCCCCTTTGAAAAGAGTGACGTCTTTTCAAATAATGGGTAGATAAAAAGTAATCCTAAATGTCTTTTCAAATAATGAGCAGATATAAAAAGTAAGCCTAACTTCTCTGGCCTTCTGGTGGAGGTGGATTTTGTAGAGGACCCGTGTCAATGGAGTTGTGGGAAGTGGGGAGGTATAACCACTTGAGGGATACCCATTGTTCACCCAGAAATTGTGCTGAGGTGGAGCAGCTTTAGCTCCAATGGCCGCAATGACTCTGTGTTAATAAGCTGAGCGGTATCAGGCCCTTTTACTATACTCCAATTTTGTCTGGATTTTGAGAACTATTTGGGGTAAAAATCTTGGTAATGGCATGAGCTGGGTAGACTGTAGACGTGCTAGACAGAGGATCACTCTTTTCCACAGTTCTTTCTTCAATTTCATTATGGAAGTTTGATTTAGATGCTACCCCTTGTTTGTTTTATTACCAAATATAAATATTAAATTTTATAGTTTTGCAAGGGCAGCGGGGGGTGGGGGGAATGATAAAGAATGACAAAAGAGGCTGCTGATAAAAGGACAAACAAAATCTGCACAAATTGCCGTAGTCAACTAGCTGGGGCCAACTCGCTACGGGACAACTTGCCATGGCCAACTCACTATGGGACAACTCACTGCAGGACAAGAGTTACACTAATATTGAAGAAATAGTGGAATAGAATAGCAATAGCACTTAGACTTATATACCACTTCATAGTGCTTTAAAGGCCTCTCTAAGCAGTTTACAGAGTCAGCATATTGCCCTCAACAATCTGGCTTCTCATTTTACCAACCTCAGAAGGATGGGAAACTGCGTCAACCTTGAGCCAGTGAGAATCAAACTGCTTAGCCTGCAATACGGCATTCTAACCATTGTGCCACCATGGCTCCTTAAATCATTAAAGAAAAGATGCCAAAGGAGGGACAAAATGAAATGTGTATGACAAAAATTAAAATATTTTTAAAATTATTTTAAATAATTAAATTGGATTGTTGAATTGTCCTGCAGCAAGTTGCCAAATCGCGAGTTGGCTACGGTGAGTTGGCTGTTGCAAATTGGCCGTGGTGAGTTGGCTGCAGCGAGTTATTCTATTATGTTCTGGAATACTCTCTTAGATAACAACAAACACCAGTTTCTTTTTTTCTCTCACTTGAACCTGTACGAAGATGGCTTCAAGATTAATCTGGAGATGCAACATCAGAAATTCTAGTCATACAACGACTTTATCGATCATTTACTTACACGTGAATTAATTCTATTCTGAGTTTGCATGGCACATTACATTGTGAGTTGCCAATTGCGCCGAGTTCACTGTAGTTTAACATGGTGTCATGCTTGGATAGTTATGTGAGAAAGAGAATTGAAGAATCTTGTGGGCATTTCCACGATGCAAACTCATAATACTTTTCTTCCTCAGGTGGGTAGCCTCTGGATATGTTTGAACTACAATTCCCAAAATTCATAGCATGTTGGGATTTGTAGTCCCCCTGCAGCTGAACCAAGAATAGAGTCAAAAACATTTGATTTCCAGATCATAGGTAACTGTACTGAGCAATAAACATGCTAAATGGCATGTTTTGTTGTAATTGCTAAATTTTACCATTGCTGGCAAAATTAGTATTCCACTGTGCTCAATTCTTTGCTTATTCTTTTCACTCAGTTCTGAGCCTTCCCCAGCAGATGGCCTTGTAGATTTTTTAAAATTCTTTTTCCTACTTCCTGTATTAGACAAGAGAGTCAGCTTGGGAGTCTGGAAGCTGCTAGTAAGGTTAAAATGTGATTATTTTCTGTGATTCTGTGACTCGCAGATTTTGTAGAAATATATTTACAGGGAGTTCCCTTCAGTTTATTTACCAGGGAGGCAAAAGGCACAGCAGACTGCAGCATTGGCTGTCAGCCTAATCCAGCAAAGAGAATGGCAGGCTACTGCAGAGGTAAGATAGCTGATTCCATGCCAAGGGGTGCCTGTGGAGATGGTGAGGCTTAGGCGGGAAAGAAAGATTGAAGGATGCCTACTGCACTCCATATGATTAGATCACACTGCAGAAGAGGGTTCAGCCTGAAGCAGCCCTTCTGACTGCACACCCTGCCAGATATTCCAAGGTTATCTCTCCTGGAGTGAAAAACCTCATACAATTTTCACTTCCACACTCAACTGGAGGAGTGGTCGCCCACTTCATTAAGGAGCTTGTCTCATTGCCGGTGGAACTTCATAGTAATTAATCAAGCCTAATTATCCTTTCAGCAAAGAAATGCAGATACAGCATCTGGGAGATCTGGATGGACCTGTGCTGCCTTTGGATGCCGGTAAGCAGCTTGGGCATGGATTCGATGGAGTAACGACCAGCCTTGGGATAGGGAGGGGGGCTGTCTCCTAATTTTATGGGGTGCTAGCCTTATGTGATCTATTAAGATTAGTCAGAGCTTGGTATCGTTAGTGGCTGATGGGTCTTCACTGCACAAAGTTAGCAGTTTTCAACAGATATAACTGTATCTCAAAGAGAGCAAATGCCCCTGCATCTAACGGAACAATCACAAGTCTAGTATTTGGTGAACCCTTCTGGCTCCTATTAAAAGGGAGATAGAACGCAACCTACTCTGGCTCCCACATTTTCTTTTCATTCTTATTTTCTTCTATTCTGGCCTACCACTGGATCATTTCTCAGTTGCAACAGATCCAGTATCCTGCCACAATTTATTCTGGATGCAGTGGCTGCTTTCTTTCTGCCACTTTAACTTCAGCACCACTCCTTGTTTATTCCTCTGCCCCGCGTACAGCATATTCACACCAGAAGGCCTTGCTCTGATCACTTGGCTAATGCTGGTTTGGACATTCTCCATGCTAGATGGAAGGTTATGTCATCCCTTTGAGGTAGTCTAAGTCAGGAAACAGACACCAAAAGGATTCCAGGAATGCTATTTTATCACGGTAGGATATAATAATAGAAACTTGAAAACTTGTCAGAGTTTCTCTGTGCCCCATCTTATACCAAATGAAACTAAGAGGGGGTTATTGTGAGTTTCTTTCTCATGCTTTCCACTTTATCAGGATTAAATTGTAAATATTTTTCCCTTCAAGTCTCATCTGTTCCTTCATCAAGATCAGCTCTGTATTCCTCTACAGTAGGGGTGTCCAATCACACCAACTTTAAGACTTGTAGACCTCAACTCCCAGAATTCCCCAGTTTTAAAATTGCCAAGGTTGGTCACCGCTGCAAATAGAGTTTCACAAGTGGTACTATAAAGTTACTGCTACTTCAATATGTCTTTGCTTAAATAAAAATATTTTGTGGATTCAGTATATTTATCTGTCAGTTGTGTGACCACTCTTCTGTGATCAAGTCTCAAGAACACTATGCTGCCATCCCTACACCAGGTGGAATTTCTGGGAGCTCAGACCCCAACTTCAAAAAATGTTTGAAGAACATTAGATTGGAGATAGCTAAGATTTTCTACTTGCTTGAGAATGCATGTACTGTCAGCCCATTCTCCCATCCTCATTGTCAATTCTCTGAATAAAGGCCTAAGTTACTCTGATAACTCACCTTTGACCTGCATATTAGAACTTATATTGTTCCTTCTGGAAGGAACCTACTTAGCGAGGAGAAATGTGAGGACCTGCTAGTTCTCTCATTTTCTATTCTGAGTCCTCTAGCATTCTGCTTTTGTCCCTAAGCCCAAAATATATGGATGATGCCAATCCTATTGCCAGATTTTAGGTTTAGGTTGAATGGGAAATTTTCTCGTGAACACAATCAATGCAAGAAGAGAAGAGTATGTTTCTATATTTGTTCCTTCAGAAACAACGGCCACTTCAGAAGAAGAATCAGAAAGAATGCTGAATGAAAGAAGCCAAAGCTCTGATGGCAAACCCAAAGTAAGTAAGACTGGAATGGTTTTACAACTGCTGCCTTATTTTCAAGAGGAGATTCCCAGCTTTTAGTGCTGGGTATTGGTCAGGCTCCGAATGGCTTAGCTTTGGCTTTAGAACTGTATGTACTATCCTCAGAGTATTTTCCAAAACATGTGCCTTCACTTCAATATCTTGGAGATGGGCTGACTGGGCATTCTGAGAGTTGTAATCCAAGATGTATAGAGAATACCAGGTTGGAGAAAACTTTATTGGAGCATATTATTCAATTGGAATCTCTTTTACTTTATTGTAACTTGATGTGGGGCTTGAAACAAATATACCAATGTTCTAAATGAAAAAAGTATGAAGGAAGGTTTTCTCTTCAGCTGGTGTTATTCATAACAGCCCACTCTGCTGTGTATAGTTGGGGTGGTATCATGGTCCTTCTTTCCAAGTTAACTCCATTTCCCTAAGAGGATCTAATCCATGTTGAGGAACGAATGTGCGTGTATATTTCTGTTGCTTGGTTGTAACTACACTTGTTCCTTTGCAGCTTTCTGTGGTGGGATCCCAAGAGCCGGCAAAGAGGAGCAGAGTCCAAGCAGTGTGCTTCAAAGACAGTGGTGACAGCGATGAAGGTTGTTGAATGAGTGCTGGATTTATCTTGTGTTCTCCTTTCTTTGCATTGTTGCCCTTCCATATGTTCCAATTTTTCTCTCTCCTCCTTATTTTTATTTTATATTCAAATGTCTTTCAGAATTCCACGCTCCATTTGTTTTCTATAGTCCCCTACCTTTCATTTAGTTTCTTCCAATTTTGTTTGCCCTTTTATATATTTAATTTATGCTCCTAACATTCCAGGAATGACTAGTTTACTTCTTTTTTTCCCCCAATTCCAATTTTTCCATCTCCAAAAGATTACCATCTTCTCCATTTGTATATTCATCAGGAATTTTCTTCAAGCGTGCTCCTCTAGAATTATAAGTTCTGAAAGTTAACCATATATTGAAATTTCTATTGAAATAAGCAAACCCGATAGTCATGTTCTTAGACTGTGTAGAATGGTCATTTAGTCTAGAAAAAAGGATCCAGATTAATGTCCTATCTGAATGGTTTCTACTGTAGTTTGTGTAAAAACAAATGCCCAGGAACTGTTAGGGCAAATTGTTTTATCAGGAACGTAACTTACATTTCAAGTGCAACTTTTCTTATCTAGAATCAGATTCTTCTGAAGATGAATTGAACACTTCACAGGTGGAGGTTTCTGTGCTTCAGAGGCTGGGCCTGCATAGGTAAGAGCCATCCACATGTCTGACAGGATTCTTTCATAGGCCTTCTTTCTTGTCTGTTTTTTTGTGAGTGGGAAAGGCTCTCTAAAATAAGGCATCTATCTATTCCTAGATGTTAACTTCAAAATGGCCTTAAAATCCAAACGAACACAATTGAACTCCAATAATTGCTTCTACCAACCTTAGCAACAGCATTTCTGAAATCATTATCAATTATTATAAATAATATTTCCATATCATTTACAAAATATTTCCCCTTGTAAATGTGAGTTACTTCTTGCACTTAACATTCCTCTGAACTATACCAATTTGAATATGTTTGCTCACAAGTTCTGTAAATCGGAGATCAAGGTTGCAATAGTGGGGGATGTTTTTCTGCATTATTTCCAGCTTTATGGGTGAAGTTATTCAGGTTGGAAGCTACAGAACCTCTCCTCTGCTAAGTTGTTTGAGCTTTGCCAGATCACTAATATCAGATATTAGTAATATCTACTCTGTATGATTTTGTATTTTCCTTGCAGGGCATCTCTGACAGAGCAAGATGTGGAGGTAAGTGTTGTTGTCCATGCAGCTGCATTCTTTCTAATTCATAGCATTTCAGCTTTTTCAGAAGATATTCTGAGGCTTATTGAGATAGATGTTCTAAAATAATTGGTTTCTTGGCTAGCTTGGAGACCTCTTTTTCTGACCTGCAGAATATTATTTGTTCTGAGGCCCAACTACATATATATACTACAGTATTGTCCTTAGTGAAGAACATCTCCCTTCATCAAAGATATTTGCAAAATATTAGCATTAAGTTCAGCTCATATTAACGTTGGCTGGGTTGGCAAATTTTCTAGGTACCAGAGGACATAAATGATTTAAATTTTTTTTCATTGCATTACAGTGTCACTAGAAAGCATACAATGGATAAATGCATGTAATTTGCTGTGACACCAGACATTTTTCAGCAGGGAAACAAAACATTTGTATTTCAATTGTATTCAATTGTATTCCAACAAGGAAACAATAATACGTTATTGCTTGGGAGGCACCACTGTTTTCTTAGTTAAAGCGTATGAGTCCTGGGAAACTGTCTGAAACAATTAATAATTTAAGATGACCAGGTCATCGTGAAAGGTGACATTTCGTATCAGTGTCTTTTAGTCAGTCAAAGCTCCTGGCAAACTGCCCAGACAGGTCCATGCAGTTTTCTGGGCAACGTCTATGGAGATTCAGGTCATGGTTGCCCCAAAGGTTCTTTTTCCCCCCTCAAAAGGTAACTGGATTTTCTTGGTTCTTTTCCTTTGAAACATTTCATTTCTTAACTAAGAGCTGAAGAATCTTCTTGGATGAGAAGCTAAACATTTTCAAAGGAGAAAAACCAAGGAAGTCCAGTTGTCGTGTGGAAAAAAAAAAGCACTTCTGGGTTTTGGGGCAACGTTTTCAGAAGTGATTTGCATTGCCTTCTTCCTAAAATTGAGAAAGAATAACTGGCCCACAACAGGATTTTTTGCCCAAGACAGAACTGGACCTCCCATCTCGAAGCCAAGAGCCTTTGACCATTATAGTAATTGGTTTTCTGTCTTTTTGTTACAGCATGGATGAATTTCATGCTAGTTTAACATGGAAATACAAATACATAGATACATATGCACAACATCTTGACTTTCTCTTGAAACTTGATTGCAGATAAGATACTGATAAAAGTCCAAAAAATGTACATTATCTTTTCTGTTTCCTAGAGAAAATTAGAACATTTGACTTAGGATCTGTTCATTAACAGTTTTCCCCAAATGTTTTGGTTTGAAAAGTGTGGAATATGATTGAGTTCCATCAGTAATACAATTTGGATGATCTTCCTTTTTTGGCAGGCAGCTTTTGCGCATTTAGCCTTGGCTTTACGCTGCGATATGTTTACCCTGAGACAGCGAGTACAGATAGAAGAACGAGCCCGGAACACAGCAGAAGAGAATATTCAAGAGGAGTTGGCAGAATGTCAGGCAGTGTTGCAGGCAAGTGAAGTAATTTTCTTGAGTCTTTTGACCATTTGTTTTGCATTCCAAAGGATGGTAGTCTAGAGCCATCAATAGCATTGAGCTTCCAAAATCTCAAAAGGGAGAGGACCAGCAGAGATTGGGATGGATTCACACTTTGCATTTTTCCTATCCTTTTCATTAATTCATTAACCATAAATAATTTGCCTTTCTGATTTTATCGTGATCCATGTGGAGTTAAGACAGTTTGGCTAAAACAATGTGTATACTACTATTGAGCAGGTTGCACATAAAGATTTCTGAAGGAAATTGGGCCAATTTTTCTTGCATTGCATTGATAATGAATTGATTCAATCCTGAGAATTGTGTGAAGTCTAGTGAAGAAGTCCTAGTAGTCATTATTTCAGTTCATTCAAGAATTTCTGTTTTATCCCTTCAGAAATTAGATCAGGCCTGTCTGGACCCCAGGCATAAGGAACTGGTTGAACATTTACAGAACAGCTTAGCAATTCTGACAAGAACAATTGAAAGAGCAACAGGTGCAGCAGAGAAATTAGGAGCTGTCCATCAGGTGAGACTGTAAGTTTATTATTTCTGTCATTTAAACTCTGAATTATTGGAAAGGTGAGTAGATTGCTACTGATTTCAACAACTGCTATCTTATGGGATCATTGGAAGGGCAGTTACTAAACTTGGGCTAGTCAGACAACTTAACATACAGTCCTGAGCCTTTGTGTCTGACACCAGGTTAGGGATACGTGTACTCCTTGACTCATGACCACAATTTTCATTCCTGAACAAGGCAGTTATTAAATGAATCATGCCCAATTTTGACCTTTTTTTGCCATGGTCTTAAGCGAGTCACTAGTTTTATTGTTAAGTAAATTATGTGGTTGTTGAGTGATCCCCCCCATTTCTTTGCCTGTTGGAAGCTGGATGGGAAAGTCACTGATGGCTATCACATGATCTTGCAACACTGAAAGCATTGTAAATTTATGCTGGTTGCCAAGTACCTGAATTTTGATCCCTTGACCTTGGGGATGCTGCAATGGTCATAAATGCAAGGACCAGTTGTAGTTCACTTTTTTGAATTTTGTAATTAAAAATGATTGTAAGTTGAGGACTATCTATAATTAATCATGGAGAAATTCTGTTTAGATGGTTACTAGGAGTTGTAAATAACTTGATGGCATATAATCAAACAAAAAAAAAAAAGCCCCTGGTACAAAATTGGAAATATTAGGATGAGCTTGAGGTAAAACAAGTTTAAAAATGGTGTTAGTTGGCAAACCCTATACATTTCACCAGGATTTCCTGAGAGTAGTTTATAAATGCTCTTATACTTTGTAAAAAATAAGATAAAGTCACATGCAAAATTCATTGGCATTTAGCTACCAAAAGATAACTCAAGTGAAAGCCTGCTTGCAAGTTGTATTGCTAGGGATTACTTATAAACAATGCACGTTTTTCATGTTTTATCAGTACAATGAATCTTTTCTACTTCTACCTTCCATTCCTCTTTGTTCTCCTGAAAACCACATTGAAACCAGGTAAAAATGCCACAACTTGTTATCTTTTTGGTGCCAGGGAAGAAGGAAGCTGCATTATTGTTGACTCCATGGAATCCATGTTGCAAGTTGTTAAGATTGTTTATCCCCATCTTCAGGTATCACAGGACAGAAAGATAATATTCCAGTTGCATGTTTGCAGTGCCATCATTGGTGGTGTATTTCTGCTTCAGACACCACAACTAAGCTTCTTTGAAGAGCTGAGGAGACTGTAGCTTCCTAGATAAGAGTCATGCAGCTCTGATATTAAATTCCCTATTTTAATGTCCCACAATCCATTCAATTGTAGTTTCATTCCAGATATTGTAGATGGAAAGCTAAAATACCTATTCCTTCCTCCCTTTGTCACAGTATCACTGTATGGAAAAGGCCCAGTAGAAAGTTTTTTTTATTAAGAATTTGCAAAATCATGGAATCTGTTCTAGTATGTTGGTAGCATAGAGAACAGTTCAGGGTTTTGAGAAAGGAAGTGAAATAATTGGCTTTAATTGTGTGTTTACACAGTTTTAATATATTTGATAATAAGGAGCAACATTTGTAGAATGTTAGAATCTTAGAATCCTGTTAACATATTTTTTATGTAATGGTGTTACATGTAGGCAAATAATCACCCAATTTGCATTTAATTTAGCTACTGGATAGTTTTATATGATTAGGTCACATTTGAAACTAAATCAGATGAAATAAAATTGAACAGAGAACCTAATGCTCTCCCAGGATTAGGAAGTCTCCAGTTCAAAACTTGGCCCTGTATTCATTCTCCTTAAATGATTTTAGGCAAGTCGCCATCACTCTGCTTCCTGCAATATGGGTTAATATAGCAGACTTAGCAAAATGTAGCATCCTGAGCCTCTGGAAATACTATAAAAGGTAAAAATATCCTTTGAGAAGCTTAATTGCTATGTGATTTATATCAATATAAAAGTGCTTTGCTGCTGCTGTCTTCCACCAACCAGGTTTGATCTCCCTTAAAGTCTAAAAATCAGCCATCCAGCAGGGCATGGAAATCTATCCCAATGCAAAATATTAGTCATAAGGTTCATGGGCTCAATTAATCATTGACTATCCTACAGTGATGGTCATTACTCAATGAAGGATCTGCACAATTTAAAAAATGTAGGGTTGAAGCAGGCGAACCTGTTCACCGATCTCCTTGAAGAAAGTTGGGCTGGCTTGGTCATAGTTTCCTTTATTACTCCACTCCTTGGATTCATTCATACCTTCCTGTCCTTCCTGCAGGAGGCTCGCATGAGTCGAGCTGCAGAACTGATGGTGCAACATGTGGAGAACCTGAAACGGCATCACCTGAGGGAGCATGCAGAGTTGGAGGATATGAAGAGATTGATCCAGCAGAATTCCCGAAACTGGCAGTTAACTGAAAATAAGGGTAAGATTGGCTCTCTGGGCAGCCTGAGGCACCCAGGCCCACATGAGGCCTCCAATCTCTTTCTTGGAGCCGTAGGGTTCCCCCTGTTTTGAAGCATGAAACGGATTAATACAAAACCTACTATCTTTCATTATTAAGCATCCACTGTGTCTATCCTCAGTCGCTGAATGTTGCCCACTTTGAGAGTAGGAATTGTTCTCCTGGCTCCTTAGAAAAAAGCCTGGGATGGAAATATAAAACAATGAAACAGCTGGTGTGTATAGAGGAAGAAACTTTGGGTTTAAGAGTAGCACTTATTAACACTTGCTTGAATTCTCAGGAGAAATGTGGAAAAGATTTGTTTTTATCTGTTTGAGGCTTCATATCTTTAAAAAATACCAAATGAGTTAGAACAGTGATGGCTAACCTTTTTCCATTGTGTGCCAAGAGTGGGAGGAGCACACACCCATAATTCAATGAGCCCTGCGCCCCCCCTCACATGCACGATTGCGCCCCCTGTATTCCCCCTGCTTTTGGCACGGTGGGCCCCGTAGGCCAGTTTTTTGCCCTCCCCAGACTCCAGAGGCTTTCTAGGAGCCTGAGGACGGCGAAAACGGCCTTCCCCATCCCCCCGGAGGCCCTCTGGAGGCCGGAAACAGCCCATTTCCCGACTTCCGGTGGGACCGGAAGGCCTGAAAATCAGCTGGCCAGTGCAGGCATGCACGCTGGAGCTGAGCTAGGGCAATGCTCACATGCCCACAGATCTGACTCTGCATGCCACCTGTGCGCGGCATAGGTTCGCAATCACGGAGTTAGAAGGACCCTTGTTTCTTTATCATATATCAACAGATTCCACAATGGTGAAAAATTTTGTATTGAACCAGCTGTACTTTAAATACGTGGGAGGTTTTTTTAAAAAAGTCCATCCCTTTTCTAGTTCTGCTGTCACAACTGAAAATCAGAGGTGTCAATGAGAGAAGTGTGTCCAATAGATCAAAACATCCCTGAAGATTGTTCAGTAGAAGTTCTGCCTCTTTCTTAATTCATGGCTTGTATGGTCATGGTTCAGGGGTGGGTTCTAATTTTTTTTACTACCGGTTCTGTGGGCGTGGCTTATTTTGTGGGCGTGGCTTGGTGGGGCGGGTAATGTGACTGGGTGGGCATGGCCAACTTTTTTTTTTTTTACTTTTAAAAGCATTTTTTCTACAACCTTAAGAGGTTGCAGAAAACAATGCTTTGAAAAGCTTCTGCCAATCAGGCAACTCAGCTGGGATCGTCAGACGCTTTTCAAAGCATTTTTTTTTTTACCACCTCTTTGGCTGAAGTGGTTGTAGAAAAAAATGCTTTGAAAAGCCTCTGACGATCCCAGCTGAGCCACGGGATCATCAGAGGCTTTTTTTTTTACTTTTAAAAGCATTTTTTCAGCCAAAGAGGTTGTAGAAAAAATGCTTTTAAAAGTTAAAAAAAAAGCCTCTGATGAGGTGGGTGGGGTTAAGTAAGTGGCAACCGGGCCAGGGACCAGTTCGGGGGCGTGGCCAGCCAATGTTATTACCGGTTCTTGGAACTACTACAAATTTTTACTACCGGTTCTTGCGAACCGGTGTGAACCGGAAGCAACCCACCACTGTCATGGTTGCCATCTTGACTTTGTGGAAACCCCCCCCCCTCACAGAGATTTGTGCAGAAAATCTATGCATTATCTGCAGAAGAAAAGCTGTTTCTTAATTGACTTGAAGCTCTCTTTAACCTGGTCCATCTGATATGGAAAATATTAAGAAGGTTTGTTTAGCTCTGACCTGTTTTCTCTTGGAAAGAAGCTTTCCTACCTCTTAAGGTTATGCAAGCTGATTAAAGGATTTTGAAACCAAGCCCTGACATATGCCCATATTTCACCTTGTAGGGGAAATGGGCCGCATAGAAATTGAATAAATGAAAATAAATATGTGTCTTCCATCAATGAAACATATGAAGGATCAAAACTTAAGCACTAAGAAAGAGCTCTAGCAATTAGACAAGCATGATGGAGTTTCACTTTTTGGTGTGTGCTACAAAATGAAATGAATACAGTATTCATTTTGGCAATAATTTCTCCCTTTGGTTGATTGATAATTTCCCCTTTAACTTAACTACAAAAAAGCAGGTTTTCTACAGGAATGCAGCAAGAGAGGAAAGGGCTAAATAAATCCTAACCATTTGATTTTTCTCTCCCTCTTTCCCAAGCTGATGCAATTACATTTTTTGAATGTGTTGCATGTAATTTTACATCTAGAATTGTTGTTATATAGATCTCAATAAGGAGCAAGAAAAGACAAGAAACATGCAACTTTGGTGTAATTAAGTAATCCTCAGTATAATTAACATTTCTCTCTCACACACACAAAAAAATCATACAAAAGTTAGTTTTCAAATAATTTTACTGGCAAACTAGAGTAGCAAGCTACCCTGGGAGAGATTCCCAAACCAATCTTTTCAAGATTCTTGTGCCTTAGTTTCGCTAATGAGGACACTACATACTGATATTCCTTCCATGTTTTCCATAAGATCCATTCTTGACATTACCAAATAACAGTCTGTTTAACATACAAAACCTCCCTTTGTCTCACACTATAAAATAAGCATTTTCTAATTATCCAGATTCAGTGATCACAATTATCCATTTCAGAAAAAGGCAGTTTTTAAAATTGCCTTAAGATACTACCGGTAGCTTGCTATGAATCAGTTGTGTGGCATATTATATGCCCCTTAATGACCCAACCGGAACATAATCTACTGAGGAAAATTGAATGTCAAATCATATTCAATCTACCTTTTCGAGGATTTTATACACTGAACTTTCCCAACTCTTCCTGGAGATACCACAGGTGGAATCCAGCACATGTTTGAATTGAAAAACATGTACTTGAGCTCTGAGTTATGGTCCTTCCCATTAAAAAAATATTTTTGTCTCATAGATGATGGTGAGCAGAGACTGAAATATCCCTTAGCACGATTTTTTCCGCAGGTAAGGAAGATTAGGATTGTGGGGAGTAGTTCTAAGCTGTTTCAATGGAGAATCATTACTTTAGAAGGTGGCAGAATTATAGAAGGTATCTAGCCCAGTCATTGAGCTTCATTGCCTCCAGAGAAGGAAAGGTGAAATTATTGTCTTATCCTGTAATTGGGCAGGGCCAATCTTGTTGGTCTTTCAACTCTTGCTCAGCTCAAAGATCTCATTTTATTTCATCTCCACATTGATTGCTTCGTTTTGACTACAGGTATTGGGTAAAACCATGCACTGATTTGTAAACCGGAGTGATTCAGATACATGCATGTTTGTACTAAATTGTGATTAAGCAGTATATAGCTAGCCTAGCATGATATGTGAACTCTATCATATTGTCGCTGGAAAATGAACTGTTGCAGATTGAGGAAAGGAGACAGGTATAGCCTTAAGGGAAACATGATCCCCATACAGCCAATCCCAAACTTTAGGCATGCTAATCAAACTTCTTTGCGCTCCAGGGCTCAGCTCGGCGTAGAGTCAGCATTGCAGTCGTATCCAGGCAGCTAACGGTAAGGAATCCCTTCTATTACTATGGCTCTTTTGCAAGAATATAACTTGCTGAGTGCACTATATTTCCATTACCATTTGACTGTCATTCTTCTCCTTGTAGGCCAGTTCTGAATTCATTTACAGCCTAGCCTAAAGTTAGAAAATTTGCTAGTAACATCTCATTGTCTCCAGAATGTTCTAGTTTCCAGCTGAGAGTAATGTTAAATAAGTACATCAGATTTCTCCAATTTGGCGTCCCTAAACATTAGGCATTTCAATTTTGAAAACTGCCATACTGGTGAAATCAAGTCCAGCACACTTGGAGGCACCAGGTTGGGAAAATTTGATAGGTGGTATTATCTGTTGACTGAATGCTTTCTTCAGGTATCGTGCCTCCTACTGGATGCCCCCATCCCTAATCAAGATGAGCTTTATTAAAGGTTTCAAAGTGGTTTTCTAGAATCAGGGGTGTCAAACTGGTGGCCTGTGGGCTGGATGCGTCATGTGCAGGCCACGCCACCCCAGCTCCGCAAAGGGAAAAAATATCGCAATACATCACGTGACGGCAACATGGCATGTCAAGTTTGACACCTGTGTTCTAGATGATAAGCATGCTTTTCATTATTCCAAGGGATCAGTGATGCACTGTTCAAGAATGATTTCCTGTATTGGAACGGCAGCTATCAAGTTTTTTCTCTTCCCAATCTTATTAAACTTCAGATAGTGTCAGTTTTTGTTTTTGTTTTAGTTAAGTAACTCAAAGATAAAGACCTCAGCATCTGCAAAAGTAATACAAATCAGTGAAAAAAGAAATTACAAGAAGCACCTTTCTATTTCCTTTCATGGGTTTTTTTTTTCATTCCACCGCCCCTTAGGATCTATATTTATGTGATTAATTGCTTTCATCTGTGCAACTTGTGGACTTCTGTTAAAGTTTACCATTACTGAAAAAAACATGTGTTTGCAAAGTTCCTACTTTTTTCCTTCCGCTATTAAGAATCACAGTTGACGCTCAACAGCTGCATGTACCATATGACTTTATTCAGCATTCTAGATATGGCAGGTTCATCCTTCTTTAGATCTCAAGCCCAGATATATTAAAATATCTATTAGCAGCCAGAAATGTTTGAACTTTGGGCAACTTGGGTTGCTTATGCAACCATAACCATCTTTTGATATCCTAGTATGCCATGGAAGCCAGGGAATGCCTACATAAAGTTAGTATAATATGATGCCGAAAGCCTCAGTTCCCTTTCCGTAGCCTTACCACTCTATTTAGTTATTAGTTTTGTCCCTGTCATGTCATGCTGGCCATGTGACTGTGAAATCATCTTCAGATATCATTGGCTCAATGGCTTACAGAAACAGAAATGAGCACGGCTACAACTAGCAGAATAAAACCTGCAGGGACACCTTTACCTTTTTTTGGTCCTCATTGACAATGGAGAAGTAGTTTCCTCCTCTGTAACAAAAGGATCTTCAGCCAAGAACCATCCATGCTGGCAACCTTTTGAAGTAAGCTAGGTCAGGAAATAAACTCCACAAAAACAACTGAAAGTCTACTTTGTTACAGAGTGTAATAAAGGAGTCTTGAAAGCCAGGTGGAGATTCTTTCTTCCACCCCTTGAATCTTGAGTTTCATTCTTACTTCTTCCTCCCTTTCAAGGTTAGGGTCATGTTTATATAACAGCTGTTGCCCAGCTTCTTAAAGGCCAGCTCCATACTCCTCTGCTCTACCTTGAGGATTGACTTAGCACAGTGTTTCTCAACCTTGGTAGCTTGAAGATAGGTGGACTTCAACTCCCAGAATCTGGGATTCTGGGAGTTGAAGTCCACCCATCTTCAAGCTACCAAGGTTGAGAAACACTGATAGCAGCTTGTCTTGGCCAGTGGTTATCAAAGTCTGGACTAGAGAAGCCCAGGAGCCCCTGAGAATTTTTCAGGGGAGGGCATGAAGTAAAACAAATATTCTAAATTTTCTCTGTTTTCATTTCTAATACAGCAAATATCAATAGATATTTTACACATAAACCAAAGATCTTGGGGCTCTCAATCATTTTTAATAATGTAAAGGGGTCCCGAGACAAATATATTTGAGAACCACTGGCATAGTTGCTTTTAGTTGCTCATATTTTCCAGCTTTACCCCATGAGGACAAGAAACTTACATTAAAATGCTCATTCTTGAAATTGCTTTAAATCATACAAGAGATGATACTTGGATGGGAGTACTACAGATTGGCAAGCCAGTCACAACTTCTTTCCCACGCTTCTGCTTGTATTCAAAAGCAATAGATGGAAAGTAATCAAGGAGAGAAGCAACCTAGAACTAAGGAGAAATTTCCTAATAGTGAGAAAATTAAGCAGTGGACCGGCTTGCCTCCAGTGGTTGTAGGTGCTCCAACGCTGGAGGCTTTAAAGAAGAGATTTGATAATCATTTGTCTGAAATGGTATAGGGCGGTGATGGCTAACCTTTTTGCCATTGAGTGCCAAAAGCGGGGGGAGTGCAGGGGGGGGTCATGTGCACACGTGCCCACACCCATAATTCTATGAGCCCCACCCCCGCACATGTGCGTGTGACCCCCCGCGCTTCCTCAGCTTTTGGCACATGATGGCACAGTGAGCCCTACCTTCGAGACCGTCTTCTGCCACCAGTAGCCTCCCACTGGCCAGTCCGCTCCCACAAAGAGGGTCTCCTCAGGGTGCCATCGGCCAAATTATGTCGGCTGGCGACACCCAGTGGGAGGGCCTTCTCTGTGGGAGCTCCTGCCCTTTGGAATGAACTGCCCCCAGAATTGCGTAAGACTTCTGATCTCCGTGTATTTCGCTGTGCCCTCAAAACTTTGTTGTTCCGCCAGGCCGGGCTATCAATGTAAAGATTTTAATTGGTTTTAAAAATGGGATTTTAAATTTTGGGTTTTTATAATTGAGCCAATTATTTAATAATTTTAATTATTTTTAAATTTTGTTTGTCTTTATGCTTTTAATCAGGCTGTATACCACCCTGAGTCCTTCGGGAGAAATAAAATAAATAAATAAATAAATAAATAAATAAATAAATAGGCCTGTTTTTCACCCTCCTCAGGCTCCAGAGCCTTTGTAGGAGCCTGGGGAGGGCGAAAACGGCCTTCCCCACCCGGAGGCCCTCTGGAGGCCGGAAACGGCCTGTTTGCTGACTTCCAGGAGGCCCAGAAGGCCCAAAAATCAGCTGGCCAGCACGTGCACGTGCAGTGGAGCTGAGCTCATGTGTCCACCAATATGGCTCTGCGTGCCACCTGTGGCACACGTTCCATGGGTTCGCCATCATGGGTATAGGGTTTCCTGCTTGAGCAGGGGGTTGGACTAGAAGACCTCCAAGGTCCTTTCTTACTCTGTTATTCTGTTATCTAATTATATCTGCATCAGTTCCATAGCTCTGAAAATGAGGAAGGCCTGGAGGGAGAAGTGGTTAAGCCATCAATAGACAAAGATGAAAGTCCACAAAGGTAGGGATCATCTACCCCAAAAACCTTCGCTCACTGAGAACTGTTTTGGCTTGGCTTAGCCTTCAGTGTGATGGTTTCTCTTTGTTTTCCCACCCCAGACATTCCCATTTCTCCCAAGAAGACCCTGCAGAGAATCACCTGATCCTGCATCCAAGCCCTTCCAGTTTCTCACAGCAAAGCCTGCAAAGAGCAAATAGCAGCCATTGTATCAGAGAAAGAAGTCATTGTGCAGAAGGGTAAGGCATCATCCAGGCATCATTTCTGCTAGAAATGGGCTGCATTTGGCCTATGAGTGCTGGGGTGGGTGGACGTGCTCCAGAAAGAAGCAGCTCAGGGCCAAGAAGTAAATGAAGGCAGAAAGCTAAATATGCATTAATTTTTTAATATAAAAATGTAATCCCAAATACGTAATGATTTTTCCTTTTCTGAAATTTAAACTACCTGATTTCTTTGCAACTCTTGTGGATCTCGAGGGTTGTATTCAAGGCTTCAAAGCCAGGAAATGTAGCTCAAGAACCTCACACTGAGCCAGTTTTTTGTTGTTGTTGTTGTTTTTTGGGGGGGATAGCCGGTCCTTTTAAAATATATCTTTTTGTTTACCAGATGTAGCTATAAAAATTATTTCCGTCTTAAGTTTGTTAAATTACGGTCCTGTTATCTCAAGCATTTAAGAAGGCCCAGAAGCTCTCTCTTTTTAGTTTGGCCCTCAACTGGTATAGGTTGGACTGAAAGACTGGGAGCCAAGTCAGCTTGTGAACTCCCATATCTTTGTCTAGTACTTTTCCCACTATAATGCACTAGCTCCCTGTAAGTAAATGGAGATGTGGGTTTGTTGCATGCTTATTTTTTTGCCATGGGTAAAATAGTTTCAGTATGAAGGCCTTTAATTAGGCCTTCAAAGATTAACCAAAAGAGATCTTTGGAAGTGGAAGTAAAGCTTTTTTAAAAGCATACATCTTTTTTTAAATTTCTGCATAAGCCTGAAAAATGATGTAGATACTTTTCCCCCCCTTTCATTCCATTGAGTCTGATTTTCGGAAACTGCCTGTACAAGTCCCTGCAGTTTCCTTATCAAGATTTTTCAGAAGTGGGTTTATCATTGCTTCCTTCCTAGGGTTGAGGGAGAATGACTGGCCTTAAGTCATCCAGTTGACTTTGTGCTTAAGGCAGGACTAGAACTCATCGTCTCCCAGTTTCTAGCCTGATGCTTTAGCCACTACATCAACTTAGCTGTATGTAGAATCTCATAAAAGACATTATTTATTAAGGCAGTTGAAAAAGGATGCAGCTACTTTAAAGCTACTGCACGATTCCTTACATTCTGAAGCACCTCCAATTATTGTCTATTAGATACATTTTATTAATCATTTTAAGGAGAAATAGAGGAGCAAACAGGAAATGGAGAGGCAAAAAGGAAGAATAAAACATTAACGACTCAATATTTTGTTAATTTCTTCAAGTAACTGAATATACTGTATCATTTTCAAACCTACTTCTTCTTCTTCTTCTTCCTAGCATATTCCCACAAGTGCAGGGTCCGCTTTCATTTTCAAACCTACCAACCACAAAAATTGAAATCATATGTCAATAGCAATCCTATTGACATAAAGCCTAAAATATTAAGAATTTCAGTCCGAGGAAAAAAGACTTTATGTTAAAGAAACCCACATTTCAGATGCGGCAGACGCCTGTATGTAATTTATCATTCTGGTCCAAAATCGTTTCCCTATTGAGTTGATTTTTGTGACAGATTCTCTGTCAGAAAAATGTTAATCTAGCAATTAAGATGTGCCAAATCATTTTCAAAGCATAGATATCCTGTCCTGTGTACATCTTAGAGCAGGGGTCTCCAACCTTGGCAACTTTACGACTTGTGGACTTCAACTCCCAGATCCTCAGCCAGCATGCGCTGGCTGAGGAATTCTGAGAGTTGACGTCCACAAGTCGTAAAGTTGCCAAGGTTGGAGACCCCTCTCTTAGAGCTCTGATTGGTCTCCAGCTCTAAGTGTTTATACAAAGTTGTTTTTTATACCATTGGTCATTGGCATATGTGGGAAACAAAGAATTCTGATGTGAGAAACAAAGAATTCCTGCCCCTGCATTGAGCTGGGATGCAGTGCTGGATCAGCAAGTGATGGGGACACTGGCAACCTAGCCCTGGATTAGCAAAGGCCAATATTACCTCTTTATTGTTAAACAACATTCTTCGGTCGGGTTCGGAGACAAGTGGTGGAAGTTACAGATATTCATTTTATTATTCCTAAAATCATGATGCTGCTCCAATTGTTTTAAAATGTGAGAAAGATATTTTCATATCAGCATAGACATTTTATTTAAAAAGCATTTCTTGATCTATTGAAAAGCAGGGGAGCAGAAGCCCATTCAGACATATATGCAGCTTCATCTATAATGATTGCTGTGTAAAGCAAAGGCAGCTGTTTGAGACCATAAAAGAAAATCAAGTCAGGCTCAACAAAACTGCTGGTTTGAGCATTTCCTTTTGGCTTCCTTGGCCTTTTTAGTGATGTCGGTATCCAACTGTGCTATAAATTTCTTTCTTTGGAGCTGACAATAAAGGATGCGTGCTCTTGTCTTTCTCAGGAGAGATTCAGAACTTACGAACAGAAGCCACACTAGCAAAAGTCTAGAAAATCTCAATGAAGGATTGGGTACTGAAGAGGCAAACAAGGAATGTGAAGAATTGGAAGAAAATGCTCTGCTGTGAGTGAATATTGTCTTTTATTCTTATCACCTGTGGTGGCCTCTTAGCAAGGATTTTGAAGGTTTGCCATGGTGAGAATAGATACTAGCTCAGATGGGTTTAAAGTAGGAATGAAGGAAAGAACATGGGTGAAGTTACAAACAGTAGGTCCATCAATGTTTATTGTAGTAGTCATGATGGTAACACATGGCCAATGAATGCCAGGAAGCAAGTGTTGTAACCTTCTCTGAGACATCTGAGTGGTTCCTGTAGAATGCTGAACTAAAGTACTTATCTGATTCAGCAGAATCCACTTATGCATCTGTGTAAAAAGGAAATTGGGATCAGGTACAGGGTTTTACTTGCTGAGAATATCCTTGTTTTATATTTTAAAACCATGATTCTTGTCTTTATGGCTACAAAAAAAGTAAACAGAAAAAGTACAAATATGGAATTAAGCAATGTATAGATTGTTGTGTAATTTTTTATTTCTTCCAACAGATACAGAACTTGAGTTTCGTAGGCATAATATTTTACTTTGCATTCATGTCCAATAATAATGGAACTAGAGTCTATATATCTGGGAAGTGCATATGAGTATCCAATAGAAGAGAATATATGTAGCTCAGGCTTGCACTGTGGAGTCCTTGGTGTTCCCTGAGCTTTTGATGTTTGCTTGCAGACATTTCATTTATCCAACTAGATACATAATCAGTAGTACTGAGTGTGGAGTTTGCTTCCTGTTTGTATACAGTAGCTTGCTCTACTAATGTTGGACAGCATGTGGTTTTCTTCTTGGTAGTTCTTTCATTAGAGTATCATTTTATGCTTGTTTGTCTGGTGTTAATCCCTGCTTATTTGAGCTTTGGTTACTGGAGGGGATGTGTTCTGGTCTCTTTTTTTAATCTTTTTAGCTTTTTGTTGTGTCTTTTGATATGCAAATATAGATTATTTCTATGTGTCTGATAAACTGATTCTATAAGCTGATTTGTCTGAATGTCGAGCTTCCAAGAATTCCTAAAATTTATAGATTTTTTTTTTGATAATTTAACATAGAATATCGGACTCTAACAGCCACTATGTATGACAGATGGGCAGTAGACTAGCAGAGTGCATCCATGAACACCAACTAACATTTAAAAGACATCATGGAAACTCCTTAATGTCACAAAAATGGTCAACCATATACTCAACTAAAACTCCAACTGGGAAATTGTGAGCATCCAAGACCAAGCTAAATGCAAAACTGCTAAGGAATTCCTGCAAGCTTGGCATTCAGACAAATCAACTACCAATAGACATATAAAAATAAACTATATTTGCATTCCATTCAAAATGGAAGAAAAGGAAGGAAGGAAAGAAAAAAGGAAGGAAGGAAGAAAGACAGAAAGAAAGACAGACAGATCCTTTTCAGCAGCTATCACCCATATAATCAGGGATGAATGTCAAACAATCAAACACAAACCAATACCCTAATCAAGGAACTACCAAGGAGAAAACCATACTCCCCTCCACCAACATTGGCAGGGCAAGTTACTGTATATAAACAGGAAGCAAACCCCAAACCCAGTAGCATTGATAATATTAGCTAGTTGAATAATGAAATATCTGCCGGCAAACAGCCAAGCTCAGAGATCACCGAGAACTCCACATATGAATATATTTTGGGGTTTGAGCTACAGATCTGAACTTTCATTTTGAGATAAGATAGCAGTTTTAATATTTAGTTGCACTAAATGACTGTTTTAAAATGTATTCTTGGCAGGGTCAAAAAATCTAAATTGGAGATTTGCAGAGCCTGGTTTTCTATACCCATATACTACTGGGTTTCATTATGGATGTTTGTCTTGGGGATTGCTTGCCTTGTTCTAATCTGGATCTTGGAGCTGCAGAAGCAATGTTCATTTACAGCCTCTGATTGTTAGACACAAAAGGCACATAACTTTGCATCATCAGACTTACGGAAAAATAAAAAAGGAAAACAATATGAATGTCTGTTTGTGATCACTGTGCCCTAAGGACCTGAGACATAGTCCTACTCAGTCCGACCAGGCCCCAAGATATGGTTCCACCCTGCTGAAATGTCCTGAAAAACCTCACAAATAGTACTTGAATGAATTCAAGTATGAACTCTTCTGAAGGTGATATGGTTTTAGCTCGGTAAGTATAATATCTTTGCTAAGCAATAGCAATAGCACTTAGACTTATATACCACTTCACAGTGCTTTGCAGCCCCCTCTAAGCGGTTTTACAGAGTCAGCATATTGCCCCCAACCATCTGGTTCCTCATTTTACTGACCTCAGAAGGATGGAAGGCTGAGTCAACCGTGAGCCGGTGAGAATCGAACTGCTAAATTGCAGGCAGCTGGCAATCAGCAGAAGTAGCCTGCAGTACTGCATTTTAACCACTGCGCCACCACGGCTCAAGAGATACTATAATAATGGGGTAATGCTTACAGCTCTTTATTAATATATTCATATATAATGTGAATAATTGTCATTGCCTAAAAAGGCAATGTTCTTAGATTTTTAATAGGGAGTTTTTTCATGTTCAAGATGGTAGAAATATGTAATTGCATACATTATAGTCCTAGGATTAAAACAATCTTTGAAATGGAACCTCAATATGAGAGTGATACTTATCAAAGTCACAGATGAGGAAATGTGCTGAGCAACATTCCTTCCCACTAATGGGTGGCAATGAGGCTCACCCAGCACATAATTGCAGTAACAATATTTGAGAAGAAGAAAAATAAACTGACTAGACTAGAATAAGAGTTGGAAGGGACCTTGGAGGTCTTCTAGACCAACCCCCTGCTTAGGCAGGAAACCCTACACCACTTCAGACAAATGGTTATCCAACATCTTCTTAAAAACTTCCAGTGTTGGAGCATTCACAACTTCTGGAGGCAAGTTGTTCCATTGATTAATTGTTCTAACTGCCAGGAAATTTCTCCTTAGTTCTAAGTTGCTTCTCTCCTTGATTAGTTTCCACCCATTGCTTCTTGTCCTACCCTCAGGTGCTTTGGAGAATAGCTTGACTCCCTCTTTTTTGTGGCAGCCCCTAAGATATTGGAACATTGCTAACATGTCACTCCTAGTCCTTCTGTTTCATTATTTGCAAACCAAAGGCATAACCCTTTCATATTTGGAAAACTGCATGAGACTGAAGCAAAGATACATGCAAAGGATTGGATTTCAAGAATAGCAGAGAGTTTTGTCTCACCTGAGAAAACCCTGAATGTAACAGGGTGGGACTGAGAATGGATGCCCTTCCCATTTGACTAATATCATTACATTTATGCTGTTAAGAATTTGGAATTATGTCTTATTTACCTGAGGAATGGATGCAAATAAAAGATGTTGAAAAATTGCTGAGAGTCAACAAAGCTTATCAGAGGTACTGACTGATATATCACCTGTAAACCAAGCACACTTTCCGGAACTGGAACTAACCACTGGGTTTGGGGGTGCTCCGTCTCCTATAGGTTATGTTGAAATGTTAATGTTAATAGCATACTCCTAAAATACAGCTATTTCTAAACCTGGTTGGAATCCAGATTGACCATTTTTATTTTTATTACAAAACAAAAAGTCAAGGCAGTTAGAATAAACTATGTTGTATTTTGTTCCAATTGTGGCTGAACCTGCCTCCAGATGTGTTGAGATATAAACAATTTATGTGGTCTCTGCAAATTTTGTGAATTGTCCCAGCATGACTAGAGAGTATCAGGCTTGGAAAACCTGACTTCTGCTGATTGCTGCTAAGAAAATGGTGGCTTTCATCCTTGTTACAAGTGTGATGCGTTATAAAAAAAAAAGACAGAAGCAAAAATATACAACTCTCAAATCCCTTCCTCTCCTGTAATGTCAAATCTACTATATCAGATGTGATAAATGCTGTTGTTTAAATGTGGTCTCCAAGAATTAGGAGAATATAAAAATGGAAGACTATAATCTTTTGTTACATGCAAATATGAGATGGAAACATATATAACTGAAGTCCTGTTCCAATCTGTAGAAGCCATTTGGGCTGGAAGAAACTTCTTGAAGCTAAACCCAAGACAGAACTGCTATCTGCCCATTGAGGTTTTTGGTCGATTTCACTAACGCCTCTCAAAGTGGTAGCTGGGGAAGCAGATTCATAACTTGGAACATGGCTGCAGATGTGCTAGTTGAAACCCTACCTGGAGCAAAAGACCCCATCAACAATCAGCTTTGCTTTTAGGACTATTTGATTGAACTACAGTAATGCACTCTAAAAGCTTCTGTTTTTAAAGACCACTCTGGAAATACAGTTGGTACATCATTTTTGTTTGCTAACGAGAACTAGACACTGCAAACATATTACATCTCTATTTTTGTTCCTGTGCTGATTGCCATTAGGATCTTGGGTGTGACTTAAAGGGCTGGCTATAATCTATAAAGTCTTATATGCCTAGGAAGCAAGGCACCTTCAGACCATCTTCTTAAACCAAGATCACTTTATCTGATATGCACTACATGGGGGAAATTGTTAGTAAAGCCATGTCATGAAATTGGGGGGGTGGGGGGTGCTGAGGTTAGGAAGAGGTGTTTCCTTTTTGGCTTATTTAATGGAAGAGTCCTCCAAAGAGGATAGGCCATGTCCCAAACCTGTTGAGTTTCCAGAAATGAGTCAAAACAGAGCTCTTCTGGAGGACTGTTTAACTGATTAAGAAATTACATAGGAACTATTACATTTCTCCAAAATTAAATTATTGTTAACATTTACTTTATGGTGCTATATTGCTTACCATCATATTACAAAATTTTGTCAGAAAATTATGGACACAAAAAAAGGACACAAAAATATGTCAAAGCATGCTGCACCCCAACACAGAGGTTATACTGAATCTTCAACACTGATATCATTTCATTTATCAAGTCCTTTTCTAAAGCCATTGAACATAGTGGTGATCACCTTTGCCTTGAAATAGTGAATTCCAAAGATTAATTGTGCTGGATGAAATATTTTTGCTTTTTCTGAAAGTGCTCAAAGCTAAAAAAAAAAAGAGGAATGTTGTTTCTTATGATAGTAAAGATACGAACAAATTCTGCTTTCTTCACTTTTTCTCTTTGTTATATTGATTTTGAATTTCCTGTATTGTACTGCAGCTCATCACAATGACCACATGTATTCTAAGATTAAGCTGAACTATTTCTGGCTAGTGCCTTAATTCTTTTTGAGGAAAAATGATGTCAGTGCCTTGCATCAAAATGGGACCTAAATTCTAAAAGTGACTAGCATTGATGATATTACCTAATCCAAGTAATGAAACATCTGCAAGAAAAACAAACAAACCCAGAGAGCACCAAGGATCTATCAAGTTCTAACAGTGCCTGCAGAAGGTTTCACATGTACAGGAAATAAGTTTGTAATATCTATTGCTCTGTTCTCAGTATTGGGCAACGAAGAGGAAAGTGTGGTTGCATTTTGTCGCTCTGCACGAGCAGGAAGTGCAACTGTTTATTATTTGTTCCACATGTGATCAGTTCTTTAAAACCACTTCTTTTTTTTTTGTTTATACTTCATCTTTTTCCCTTACAAATCTCCAGATGGAACCCGGTAAAACTAAACTATAAACCGGTTAAACGGATTAATGTTATTCAAAAGAGGAAGATCTCATTTCTTTTTCTCAAGTCAGAAATGCAATCCGGAGAGTTTTCTAAGAAATTTGAGAAACTGGGGAGGAGGGAGGCGAATGTTCATTTGAATACCCCCCTCCCCACTTCAGTATGTAGAACAGAACAGAATAACAGAGTTGGAAGGGACCTTGTAGGTCATCTAGTCCAACCCCCCCACCCCACCCGCCGCCCAAGTGGGAGACCCCTACACCATTTCTGACAGATGGCAGTCTAGTCTCTTCTTGAAAGTTTCCAGCGTTGAAGCTCCCACAACTTCTGAAGTTAAAATATCCTTTCTGTTGGTGCATTTCCCCCCTCCCTGTTCCTTTTCGTTTTCAATATGCTGTATTGAAGGAAGAAGGAAACCTGAAATATTATCTTAAATCTTGGAATTATTCTTTAATCGATCAGTTAAAATGAATACTGTAGTAGCGATTTCTCGGTCTCTCTCTCTCTTTCGCTGTTATTTTCATATGCACTTTTTATTACTTTTCTACTATAATTTCACCTAACATGCAATGTTCTCCACAATGTTTTTCAAGTGCTGTTTTTGAGTCAAGGACTGAGCCACCTCCTTCAATGAAATTTGAAGAATATCTGTGTCCAAACTGAAACATTAATCTTACATCCTGACCAGTGGTGAAATCCAAATTTTTTTACTACCGGTTCTGTAGGCGTGGCTTGGCGGGAGTGGCGTGGCTTGGTGAGCATGGCAGGGGAAGGATACTGCAAAATCTCCATTCCCACCCACTCCAGGGGAAGGATACTGCAAAATCTCCATTCCCTCCCCACTCATGGGGAAGCAAAATCTCCATTTCCACCCCACTCTGGTGCCAGCCAGAGGTGGTATTTGCCAGTTCTCCGAACTACTCAAAATTTCTGCTACCGGTTCTCCGAACTGCTCAAAATTTCCACTACCGGTTCTACAGAACTTGTCAGAACCTGTTGAATTTCACCCCTGATCCTGACAGTCTCTTCTCACAATCCCTCTTCTCGGTCTCTTTTAAGCACCAAAACACGTTTTTCTGGGAGGCATGACACAGGCAAGTCCCTCTCCTCCCTCCCTCCCCCCCCCCCCACGCCACTATCGTCGTTAAAAGCGGGGCAACCCCCCCCCCCCCAAAAAAGGGCTCTTGAGTATCGGATGCCTTCCAGGCTCCGTCCGCTCCGCGAGAGCGCGCGATAAACCCACTCCGACCCACGACACCAATAAGCTCTGAGGGACGTCCAGCCCACGTCGCTCAGGGACTTTTGAAACGCCCGGCCGGTCGGGAAGCCCCGCCTTCGCGGCGATGTGGCTCCCGTCCTCTCTCAGTCCGTGCCCGATGCTCTCCTTCCGTC